ACCCTCCTCTGAACAAATCTTGCCAAGAAAACACATTATAGGGTCTCCATAAGTTGGAAACGACTTGAAGGCACTCAACAACAACAAACTTTGCGGCCATCGTTTATCTGGTTGCCTTACACAACCAGACCAAATGCACAACTATGCATTTGCACAGTTAAAATTAAGATGGCAACTGTGTCTGTTCCTGGAGAAGTCAGATCTGACGATGGTAAACCATGCCAGTGTGGCATAGTGGCTTGAATGTTGGACTATGACTCTGGAGGTTAGGCTTCAAATCCACGGGTCAGCCCTGGAAACTCACTGGGTGATCTTGGGCAAGTCACATGCTCTCAGCCTTAGGGGAAGGCAATGGCAAACCTCTTCTGAACAACCCCCCTCCCAAAAAAATGATAAGAGTTGCCTTAGAGTCGCCATAAATCGAAAGGACTTGAAGCCGCACAACAACAAACAGAAAGTACAATATAATATGAAATTTGCTTTTTGAAAGTTCCCTGATATTCAGAGATATTTCTTGGAAATTAAACAAAAGGCCAATGGAAGTGGATTTTTCACACCTTTTTGACTGCTAAAAGATTAACAGTTGGTTACTGGAAAGATTATTTTTCTCCATCTGTGACCTCATGGAGAGAGGATCTAACAACATTTGCAACATTTGAAAGAATGATGTATAGATGAAATTAGATGGAAATAACCTTAAGGCCCTTTCGTAATTTAAATTATAGTGCTAAAGTTCCACTTTAATTGCCATAGTTCCATCCTATGGAATCCAGGGCTTTGCGGGTTATGGAAAGGCGTTTAAATCTCAGCCAGAGAGTTCTAGTGCCTCTCTCTTCCTGGTGGTCTGGAGATCGGGATTCATTGTTCTTGGCACTACAACTCACTTTCATATTAAGTAGAGTGTTATTTCTTGAGAGTGAGGGAAGGAGTATTGTTTGCCCATCTAGTTTCTGTAGTGTAGTGGTTATCACATTCACCTCACATGTGAAAGGTCCCTGGTTCGAAACCAGGCAGAAACATTGTCCTTTTCTTCTGGGTTGGGAATTTTTGGCATTCCTTCTTGACCTTTCTCAGATTTATTTTGGGGATATTTTATTATTACAGTGGTACCTCTACTTACAAAATTAATTATTCCGACAGCCATTTCGTAAGTAGAAAATTTCGTAAGTAGAAGCAAATTTAACATTGAAATGCCCTAATCTGTTCCAGGCCCCCAGATTCAAGCTACAACCCAATACAAATGTATAATACAGGGTTATTTCGTTAAGTACCTCTAATACAAACATGTTATATTACCCTTAAGGAACAAAAAACATAAAAATGAGTTGCAGGACAGCCACAGAAGCCAAAAATACAGTCCTGGAGATCAAAAGCCAAAAATATCAGAAGCCAAAAATACAGTCCTGGAGATCAGAAGCCACAAATATCAGAAGCCAAAAAGCCACAAGCCACAAGTCCTACCTTCCACCAACTTTGCTAGCCACACTTCCTCTCCTCTTTCGCAAGCCCAAACAGTGCTGCCTAGCTGAATTTCGCTAGGCAAACACTTCCTTTTACGCTAGCCAATACAGTGCTGCTTTGCTAGATTTCGCTAACCAATGGCATGCTACGAAATTCGGAGAGCAGCTCGTTCGCGCCAATTTCGTAAGTTGGAACGCTTTCTTAAGTCGAAGCAAATTTTTTTGGGAGGCGCATTTCGTAAATCGCATTTTTCGGTAGAAGAAACATTCATAAGTAGAGGTACCACTGTATTATTATATTATAATTTATTTATATTTCCCGCCTCTCCCTACGGATCGAGGCGGGAGTACAAAGATAAAATGTACAAACTGTACAGTAGTACAGTCAATAAAAAAGAAAAACATAACAATAAAACCACAACAGTAATAGAAAGAACAATAATAAAAACAATAAACCCAACAAGAAAAATAACAGCAATAATTAATATAATAATAAAATTACAATGCAGGTCTATGCTGGAAGCGATATAATCTTTTTCACCTGGGAGGTCCTTATAAGATGGTAATGTCTAATCTTATGTTCAGTTAGGGAGGTCAGGTGGAAAGGCCTGTTGCAAGAGCTCCATCTTAAGTGCCTTCTTAAAGGCCTCTAGTGTGGAAATA